GAGTCGAGAATACCTATTTCTGAGTATAATTATAATTCATCAATAGACTAGACTAACTTGTTTCTCTTCATCATTTTGCATATACATACTCCAATAAGAATGCATGCAGTAATGCAGCATATAGCAATAAAGAGAGGAACAAGTATTACTATAGCTAATGCAGTTTCTATAAAATACACAGCTCTATAATGCAACAAAATAATAGACTATATCAACTTACTGTATAATAAACCTATTAGAAAAAAATAACATTTAAAAATTAATTTTAACTGGTCTTACTTGTCAAACAAAAATCCACAGTTGTTACTAAATCAGTTCCATCAGCTGTCTGTTGATATACAGGTATGTACTTCATATGGGCTGACTTTAATGGGCCACGTTTAGCCATGAAGAAACTGTTATTGGTATATGTTGTATAAGTTGAAGATTCTTTCTTATCATATTGAATGGTTTCATTCTTCAACGTCTAAAGAATAAAAAAAAATACAAAACAATGTAACAAAATAACAGTATCATCTACCAGAGGATTCGTGAAGTATAATTTCTCGATTGGAGTTGAAGTAAGAATATAAATTGAAGCTGACATGGTATCGTTATGAAAATATGAACAATCAGAATTGTAATCAAAGATAAATTGACCTGTAAAAGTAAGTTAAACATGTAATTAAAAATGATAGCAACTCTAACAATTAAAGGTGTACTGAAATAGGGGTAGGTAGCTAAAGGCAATAAATTTTAAAGAAAAATGTTTACCCAGAAAGTGTTGCCAAAGCCCCTGATATTATTATAATAACAGATCAATAGTTGTTATTGAATATTCCCTATTCACAGGCGTGGCCCAAGTGATCACGATTAGTACAATTACTGTCAATTAGCATATATGTGTTTGTTGCATGCCGAAACTTACCAGATACTCCAGTGAAAAGGACTACAATTGAGAGAACAACAACAGAAACAGCCATCTTCGTGTAGTCAGGCGGAGCCTGACTAATCTTCGTGCCCTAATTTTTATTTTTAATTTCCTGTGACCTCTGATCTCAACACCCACGCAATTATTTGAGCCAACGCCCATTCTGCAGCTTTAAAATTCTTTAAAAACATTTCACACAAAATTATAAAATCAGCAAAAGTTGAGAGGTATCAAACCACTTTAGTACCAGCATTATTATTATTAGTAGTAGTAGTAGTAGTATTATTGCCAGTACCAGCAGCAGTTGTAGTCACTCGTGTGGCCTGACTACGGGAGGCTACGGCAACACAGCTGTATATAAAATGAGTAAAAGATTAGTATTATTGTTATCTAAATTTTACTTGTCACAACAGAAATAAACTAATAGTTTAAGACCAGCAAGGCAGAGTGAAAGAACAAAGGCAGCACCAAATATTATACCCACTATAGCCCCTATAAAAAAGGCAATATATAGAGTGGTATGAACTTAAATATAACCTACTGACTGATAATATATCATATGCAGAAACAGCCTCAGTATATAACAGACAAAAATCTACCATTGTTAGTAAATCAGTTCCATCAGCTGTCTGTTGATATACAGGTATGTACTTCATATGGGCTGACATCAATGGACCACGTTTAGCCATGAAGAAACTGTTATTGGTATATGTTGTATAAAGTGATGACTCATTCTTTATATAATGAATGGTTTCATTTCTCAATGTCTAAAGAACAAAGCAATATGCACATGCAAGGTATTGTAATGATAGCAATGTTTGTACCAGAGGATTTGTGAAGTATAGTTGCAGCTCAATTGGGATTTTACTTTTGATGGAAATTGAAACTGACATGGTATTGTTACCATAAGAACACTCAGCCTTTTGATCAAGTATTTGACCTGCAAAAGAATAAATAATAGGTATATAGGCTAATAAACACAGCAACCAACAGAATGTTACATGATATATATCTTACCAGATACTGTCATGAAGAGAACTGTCAGGACAAGAGTAAATATTACTGATGCTGGAGCCATTAAAATTTCTTGTGTCTAAATATCTAGATAATGTGCAACAGAAATCAGTTTTATATACTACTCTGAGCTTAATCTGAGCTGGTTGATTCATTTAGCAACAGTTTTTCTAAATTGTTAAAAAAACACAACACACTTATGGTAATGGATTAAACTATAATTGCAATATCCAACAGCACAAACAACTATTGATAACCAAACACAAAGTCAGCAATGCAATTTTTAATGACAATATGATGCAATAATAGTAACTATAACAGCTGGAATTAATTTAGGGCCACTACAAAGACAGCAAAAGTTTAGAGGCATCACTTGGTACCACCATACTCATTGTCAATACCAGCAGTAGTGATGAGTGGAGAGGATCTATTATGATAAGAATAATGATCATAAATATATAATAGTTGTTTACTTGTTTTTCCTTTTCTTTTTACAAGCATATAGAATGCATGCAGCAATGCAGCAAACGTAGCATATAATAATGAAGAGAGGAATAAGTATTACTATAGCTATTATAGCCTCTATATAAGAAATATAATATGAGCTCCAATCTTACAATAATAAGTTTAGACCCTTCTCACTTACCAGCTGATATTCCTATCAACAATGAAAATGAGATTATATATAATCTCTAGTAGATATGAGTCTCTTACCTGATAGGCAGAAATCCACAGTTGTTAGTAACACAGCATCAATAGAAGAATATTGTTGATATACAGGTATGTACTTCATGTGGGCTGACATCAATGGACCACGTTTAGCCATGAAGAAACTGTTATTGTAATAGGTACCAATATCATTTTTTATAAAATGAATAGTTTCATTCTTCAGTGTCTATTAAAGAAGTGCAAAACAGTATAATAAGTATATCAATTTTGCCTACCAAAGGATTTGTAAAGTATATTTCCCCAATTGGAACTAGATCTAGAGTTGCAATGGAAATCGAAACCGACATCTTATTATTGAATATGCCATAAGAACATACAGTATTACTATCAGTAGGCTCATCTGCAAAAGTGTTATAAAGATAGTTATAGTTACAGCTCATAACTTACCAGATCTAGTTCCTGCAGTGAATAAAGCTAACAGGACAAGAACACTAGCAACTACAGCCTGAGCCATGAGATTCTTTTGAATGAGTGCACAGACAGCATACACACAGTTGAGGTTAGGTGATGTTTATTTTGATTCTATATGGCGACTGCTGGCTGCTTTTTTTAATAGATAAGAATACAGTACACACTTGGGAATAGATTTAAATTGACAATCCACCTACTGTGCCATAACATTCAACAACACAAGAAAACGAGCCAGCAATGCATTTTAATTAATGCCAAAATGTAACAAATGAATAGGCATGTATGTACATAAAAAAGCATGGGCTATTATGTACTCTTGGTACATGGTATTTTTTAGAAATTAACTCTTTGGTTTGTCTGATGACTAGACATAGTTTTGCCCACCAAAAGTAGATGGATTTGTCATTACTTTTGTCATTGCATGGGGCCCAAAATCTCTTTTTTTCTCTCGCTTTATTGTTTAATAAATTTATATTATAGATTTATATTTTAGCATGTCTGGTAATAGTTAGTATTGATGATTAAGATCTAAGATAGATTTAGGCTGTTCTGTTGTCAAATTGAGCTGTTCAACACTCAAAAATTAGCATATTGCTCTAACACTCTCTTCAACTGTTCAACACTCTTTGTTAACACACCCAAGGCCAAGCTAACACCCACGTAACATTTGGCTTTTTGCAGCAAAAAATTTTAATCTAAAAATAATTTGAAACTTGAGTGCTATGCAACTGAATTTTCAAACACACAAAAAATGTCAGCAAATGTTGAGAAGTATCATTTGGTACCACCATATCCACTGCCACCAGCAGTAGCAATAAGTGGAGAGGATCTTTTTATACTGAGTTCACTATAAACTATGATAGTAATGCATTATTATTTTACTTGTTTTTCTTGATCTTTTTGTATGCACATATTCCAATAGCAATGCATAAAGTGATGCAGCATATGACAATAATGAGAGGAATAAGTACTTCTGCAAGACCTACAGCACTAGCTTTATGAGAAATGCAGCCATTATGCAGCAAATATTAATGGTATTAACTTACTGACTGAAGGAGTTACTACAAAAATAATGATTTAAACTCATTAAGTCCACATTAAGTTGACCTTACTTGGCAAACAAAAATGTACATCATCATTTTTTTCTGGGCCATATTTTGTTTGTACATATACTGGTATATTTTTAATACGAGCTGACATCAATTCATCACGTTTAGCTATAAAAAAACTATAATTGTAATATGTGGTAATATTAAAATAAATATCCTCTTTATGATAAAGAATTTCATTCTTTAATGTCTAAAGAATTAAAGAAATATGGAAAACAATAGTAACAAATAACAGTATTCACTACCAGAGGATTTGTAAAGTATATATGCAGGTTGATTGTTCTATTACCAGTATATAATACCCCACAAAATGAAGCTGTCATGGTATCATTATCAGGATCAAAAGAACAGGGCTCTGGACCATGGAGACACACAGCTAGTCGACCTGTAAATTAAAAGAAACACTGCTGCTAGGATTATTCTTTATAATCATGACTATGGGCATATTCACATGTAGATCCATATAACCTTCACTTACCAGATACTGCAATGAAAAGGGCAAGCAAAACAAGAATACTAGTAACTACTGCTGGAGCCATTTGATTTCTTGCGTATTGCAATATAAGAACAAAAGTTTTTATGACAAAAAAGAGTTTTAGTTTCATGATCATACAAATAATCCCGAACTATCAATACACAATATCACTCTTGACAACATGCATTGGAACTAACACCCACACATGCATACCAGTATACAGTGATGCAGCATATGAAAACAATAGAAGAACAAGTATTGCTATAAATATTGCAGCTTCTATATAAGAAATGAAAATGTTATCCACCCAAACTAAAGCTGCCTTTCTCTTGTGTGTACATACATTCAGGACTGGTAGCAGGCTTAAATTTATATATTATGTTAAAATGAATTTCTGTTTCATTTATACTATTATTTATATGCTATAATGTCAGAATAACAAAGGGATAGCTAGACCATCAGGTCTATAATATGTAAGTAATATTCAATACACAGCAGTAGAATAAAGACAGCGCAATCAACAATTTAACAGCTAATAACTAATAGCTAATAATGTTAGTTATTAATTTTTCCAGTCCCATAGGTAGTGACTGTAACATCTCTCTCATTGTCATTGGACATACTTTGAAGAGCAGAAAACCCACTGTTTGTGTGTGCATAAAAATAAATCATTAATAATAATAATAACAATAATAATCACTTACTAAGAGTTTCTCTTGTTCTTCATATAAAAGTAAACTACAACTGCAACACCAACTACAACAGCAATGACACAGACTGGTACTAATATACCAGCAGCAATAGCAGCTCCTAAATATTAACATATTGATAGTAAAATAAACCAACTATAAATGTATTTACTAACCTTTTGATTTTTTGACAGATTTGGTAGGAGATGGACCTTTAAAAAGCAAGTAATAGTTTCAAAGAGATAAATAAATTATTATTTGCATTTCTTACCAGGTGTGGTAGTTGGTATTGTTATTATTGATATATTTTTTACAAAGTATTCCCCTAGACTATTATTAGCATAAACTAATAAGTAGTCCTGTCCTCCTGTTAATTCACTTTCATCAAAACTCAAAAACTCGTCGGCTGGAGCATAACTCATCCCATCAAACAGGGGGTAAGGGATCTCAATAGTTCCATTTTTATTCGTCTGCATAACAATAAATAAAAACAAAAACTATCATAATTATAATCTTACAATTGGATTTGTGTAGATAACACTTCTTGCAGGAGCATCGCTGTTGTCAGATATTGTTATGAAGAAATTGAGTTTGTTGTTTTCCTTGCTGATACTTACATTAACAGTTACACCATCAGGAGCCCCTATACACAATAAAAACAATAATACAATTATAAATCTAGCTGTTATTCATTCATTTTCATAATAAGTTAACACAACCTCATGCAGTGTTTTTACTAAAATTAGAATAAGCTGCTTTGTTCTTATTTAAACTGTTGTAATTCTATAACTACCTCCAACAAATGTTTGGAAGGTTGTGTATCCACTAGTGTAGCCTGTTTCTCCCAAACAGGTGTAATTCTGTCTGTTCTTTTGAGACGCTTTTGTTACCCTCAACTCAATTGATTTAGTTTCATTTTTAATGACGTCTGAATTTTCAGAGTCGGTCAAAGTGAAGTTAAGTTCAGTTACAGCTGGGAATGACGACATGACCTCACAGATATAAGAGAAATCTGAATCGGTTGCATGCTCCATCCAAACTGTGTCGTTTGTTAACTGAGCAAAAATTGGACCAACTAAAATAAAAATAAAATAAAAGGCAAATATTAAAAAGAGTAAAGAAGTGAATAATTAATTTCCTTACAATATACTCCAAGATTAATGGCCTCCATTGATTCACCGACACTGTTGTTAACATGAACAGTATAAGTTGCATTATCACTTGGTGTGAGTGAAGCAAAGGTTATATTGTTATCAGTAACAGTGGTGCCATTGCCAGATATCAATTCTTCATCATCCTTGTACCACACTGTAGTGTAGTTGGCAGGGTAAGCTTTTACTTCAATTGATAGTACAAATGACGTATTGTAATATCCAAACAATTGGTCATCGACTTTTATGATTGGTGCATCTGAAAGAAGAGAAACAAATAATAATTATTATGAATAATAAATCTTCTTAGTCATTCTTTCTTTCTCTCCATTGTTAGGATTATATACTTACAATAGACTTCAGCAGTGAATGAAAAGCTTGTATTACCAATGTCATTCTCAGCAATGACGGTATAATTACCAGTATTATTAACAGCGACACTGGTGAAGACTATCTGTGATGCATTGTAAGTGATGCGGTCACTGCCGTTCAAGAGGAGGACTCCATTTAGTGTCCACATGACAAGGGAAGGAGGTGGATTGGAGGTCATGTTGACACTTAGCATACCAGGAGCACCACTGACTAAAGGCTCAGTCTCCAGTACATTGAAATATTTAGGAGCATCTGGTGGAAATAAAGTATGATAATGTATAATCAATGATAGCTCTCTTTAAGCACATTCTTTAAATGGCCATAACTCAAAAATTTGAAGTCGGAATCAGCTCAAACTTTCAACACAGCATAAGTACATCAATATGTATCAGAAAATGTAATAAAAATTTGGGGTGATTTCAGAGCCATTTTTTGGAAAAAACCATGGGCTATAGCCTTGGGTATTTTTCAGAATTTTGGCATTTTTAAAAAAATGGCCATAACTTGAAAATTTAAAGTCGGAATTGGCTCAAACTTGCTACACAGCATAAGGACATCAATATCTATCAGAAAATGTAATAAAAATTTGGGGTGATTTTGGAGCCATTTTTTTTTTTAAACCATGGGCTAGAAAATATGCCATCTTGGAAGTCTGTGCTACTAAAGTTACAATACATGTTTCTTTCAGTAACTTACAAAGGATCGAAATGTTAAGACTATTTGATTGAATTGTTTTATTGGCAACACATACAAAAACAGCTCCATTATCAAGGTAAGAAGTGTCTTTAAATACAAAGGATTGAGTTCCATTGGTAAAAGGACCATCAGCAACAAGTCTATCATCAGGAGATACATCATTTACTAGTACAGTGAAATTGGTTGTATAGTCACGAAGTTCTGGAGGTGTACTGCAATTGAAGAAAAAATTATCACCTTCCAAAATTGTGGTATTACTAGCATTAATGAAAGAACCAACAAAGTAACCTACAAAAAGAAAGAGATATCACAAAAAGTTGCAATTATTTTTGTAAAATACAAATTTTGTAGAAATACAAATTAATACATTATTAATCAAAATTATAAAGCACATTTTTCAAGCATATACATGCATACCTGGTATGTAGTAGGCCTCTGTGAATACTGATATATTATCAATCATATTGACTGATTCTATGTAGAGGTTATACTCAGCAGCAGACACCTCATACAAGGAGATATTAACAGGGATTAGCGCTAATCCAACTGCAGGCACATCTGTTTCAGGAAATGGCAGATAATACTCATCGACCAGACCAGAGACTGATATATGAACACCAAGAGCAGGTGCATCACTTAAATCAGTGGCTGTACAGCTAATGATAGCCCTGTCATCCACCTTGAGCTGGCTGCATGTAATGTTTAATTTATCAGCAGCACCTACAATTGGAATATTAGCATAACATGATTCATTAACTGTTATTCATTAATAATAATTGTTATTCATTAGCTGAGCTGGTTTATTAATTGTGTTCCACTGACCTCCAATGAAGGTCCTATAGGTATATGTGGTACTGCCTACTGAGTTAGTAGCATTGAAGGTGTAGTTACCATGGTTACTGGGAACTGGTGACATAATGCTAACCATGCCATCTGTACCAGTAGTCTATAAAAGACAGAAAAAGAATAAAAATTGACAAAGTAGACAATACTTTCATACAGTGGCATTGATTCCTGTAGTATTAGTTGCATCATAAGTGATGTTGAAGCTATCAATAGGAGGATTGGCCATCAGGACTGAGGTAGTTAATAGAATTGGAACACCAGTTTCAGACTCATGCAATCCAGTCATGTTGTCTCCACTGCTGAGCCTTGGTGGATCTAAAGAAGAAAAAAAACAGAAACTAATTAACCAGGGCAAAAAGGAACAAGGAAATACATACACACACTATGTACATTAATACAATGTTTAAAAGTAAGTGCCCATTAATTTTATGCAAATTTGTATTGATGCTGCATAAAATAATCAAGAGCTTTATAGCTGTTTTATAAAACTGCATCAGTTGCATCAGTCTTAAGTTTTGAACTTACAATAGACCTGCAGTGTAAAATCAGTTGAATTGTATTGATTCTCATTGGTGACACCAACGCAAGTGAGCACAGTTCCATTATCAGCATAAGTTGTGTTTGTTAGTGTAACATTAACGACATAGAAATCATCCATATCTGATCCATTGTGAATGATGATGTGATCAGATGTATTCGAAGAGTTCAAGCCATTAATCAATATTGATATATTTAGCATTTCAGTTGAATTGCAGCTAAACATGAAATCATTTCCTTCAATCACTGACTGAGCAGAAGGAATCAACTCTAAAGTAACGTTACTTGAAGCATCTGCAGAAAGAGGGGGCGAAAATGAGAGAGGGAGGGCGGGAGAAAGAAAATGAAAATAACACTAAAATTTCACCATCCAACTGACCTATTTGATCATTTCCATTACTAAAGGCTACAAAAAGGAGAACAGCAATATAATAATAATAATAACGACCCATCTTGAAACCAAAAAAAAGAGAGTAGCTAGTTCACGAATATGTGGGCGTTAATAAATTGCGCAAGGTCACGAGCCCCACCCTAAAATTTAATGATATTCATACAATTTTCTCCAAAAATGAAAAATAAATGATTTTAATTAGTTCACAATTGCATCAGGATTACCAACACATGCAATATAAAGCACAATATTATCAAAAGAAAAAATAACACCTATTTATCAAATCATACTCAGCATTGAAACAAGGGAAGAGAGAGAGAGGGGGGGGGATTACATAGATTACTAATAATAGACAGGGGAAACCAAAATATCAGTTACACATTGAATAATGATAATAGTAGTTTGAGTTCTTTAGCTGTTTGTAGTGCCATATGTACCAGGAACAGCATCATCTGGTATTGATCTCAATGGAGAGAAACCACTAGAAATGATACAAAAATGAAATGTGAAAATCCATCATCATCATCATTATTATTTATTATTATTTTACCTATTTCGCCTCTTTTTCTTAATGTAATAATAAGCCCCAACAATGACGGCGATGATGATGGCAATGACAACAACTGGAACAACAACTCCAACCACAATAGAAGTGGCTTAATTGATAAAAGGAAGCTAATAATTTAAAATATCATTGTTGCTAAATTACTTTTAGATTTTTTAGTAGGTGGTGATGATGATGTTGGCGTTGATGTTGGTAAAGGTGAAGATGCAATGTAAGTATACGGCTCTGCCTTAACAGGAATTGGTCCACCAATATTATTAGAAGAATAGACTTTAAAAGAAATGACTCCTTTTTTATAGTCTTTCTGAAGCTTGCTGATTGAGATAGTGGTAAAATTATTTTTTACAAAAGAGGCACCATTAATTAGCGGTTTGTCAATAGTGAAAGACTCATTCTTGCTAGACTATTATAGTGATACAATATAGACAATAAGTTAAAATTATATTCTTCAATTTTTACCGAAGGATCAGTGTATGTTATTGTCCTTGGAGGCGCGTCACTGCTATCAGTAACAGTCATGGTGAATGTAACATTAGTTTTGACAAAATGGTGATCAATTTTCACTTTAGTTTTATCAGGAGGTCCTAAATAAAACAAGTATACTTAAAAATACCGAGAGAAGAAATAGTTCAAACCTCCAACAAAAGTCTGAAAGGTCACATTCCCAGAGGTATGGCCAGTCCTCCCAGTGCAAGTATAGTTCTTGCTGTTCTTCTTGCTGGAAGCACCGGTGATGGTTACATTAATGTAGGTTTTATTGTCAGTTTTGACGACCTCGTTGCAGTCAGACTCGTTTTTGTGACAAGGCAGCTGGATGAGGAATTTCTTGACTGCAGGAAAAGAACTGCTGACAATACAAGAGAGAGTGAAAGTACTGCCATCTTTAAATTCAACCCATTGAGAGGTATTAGTGACGTTTTTAGAGACATCTTCAATAGTTGCATTTAGTATAGGACCAACTGTAGATAAATGTAAATAAACAAACAAATAAATAAGTTCATGTAGTTTTTGTTGCCATTACAGGTCAAATACTAATTAAATAAATAATAAACTTACAATAGATGCCAATGTCAGTCTTCACTGACAAATTGCCAATAGAATTATAAGCATCCAAAGTGTAGCTGCCATTATAAAATAAGCTTATTGACTTAAATGAGAGACTATCTGGCTTTACAGTAACATCTTCGTTAGTTTCTAAGACCACTCCTTTATGATACCATATAGAGGATGATACAGGTGGGTTAGCTAGCACAACAGCTTTTAGTGTAGTGTCAGCATTAAGATAGGTGAATAGAGTCTCACTAGGGAATGTTACTCTGGGAGAATCTGTAAAAGAGAGAGAGAGAGAGAGAGAGGAGGAGGAGGAATTAATAATCTTGAAGGAGTGATAATCCCCAATACATCAAAGTACTAAAATGACTTATTGAGGTAAATTCAGCAAATAGTGTTTATTAAGGTTTAATTATAACTTACATGAAACATTTAGATTAAAAGAAAACGTTGTTTCCCCATATTCATTAGACACATTCAGCTGTACAATGCTCTTGTCATCAGTGTACCTAAGATCAGTTATATTAATATTCAACAGACCAGCAACAATACGACCAGTCGTGGAATTGACGACTTTTCCATTAACGGTCCAGGTAGACTTGTTAACTGGTGGATTGGACGTGACGTTCAACGTGACATAGAAATCTTCTCCTTCCACTAAATGCGGTATATTTGAATTATTGGAAGGAGTGAAATATGGAGCAGCTGGAGAGAGAGAGAGAACAGATTATTACCCACCCATGCGTACACAAATCAAACTTACAGTACAGAGTAGGGACCACGTCCTCAGAGGTGCCACTGCCTACTTTATTGTGAGCTTCAACTCTGTAAGTCCCAATATCACTACCAGTCACTGTACTGAATAGAATACTGCTGGCATTTAGGGTCAATCTCTTATCGCCAGTAATCGTCTTGTTATTGTGATACCATGTGACACCAGTAGCATCAGGTAAAGGATTGGAGGTCATGTTTAGTGATATTATACCAGTAGAGCCATTGACTAGTATGGACTGTAGGACACCAAAGTATTTAGGAGCATCTAAAAAATAAAATAAAACGAAGTGAGCTTTATGTACTTGTACAACTTATGTCCAGCAATTTTAGTCTTTTCTGATGGCTCTACTATTTATAGGATTTTTATAATTCTATTTAATAATTACTAATGACAATATTAATCCATGCATCACTTTGATTTAGGATTCTAAAAATTCATTGCTAAACGTTAGTACACATAATGTACATGTACATATAGTTTAGGCTACATTTACACAGCAACAAAAGCTATGCAATCGTTTTGTGCTTGTTGTATTGATTTCTGTTTCCACATAAACAATAAAACCATGACAGGACTCTATAGAAACAAAAATAGCATATCATTTGCATTTTTGCATTGTTGTGTAAACTCAGCTTTAAAATGGACCTGATTTTTTAAAAGATACATACATACATGTACACATATCTTATTCACAATCTTACACAGGACATCCAATCTCAATGGAGGAGACTTAAAGGTTCCATTAGCACAGCACTTTAAACTGAGCCCATTATCAAGGTAGGTTGGATCCGTAAGATTGACAACTTGTGTTCCATTAATGAGTGATCCATATACTAGTCTCTTATCATTATCAGGGGTATACTCATCATTGAAGAGTATAGTGAAGCTAACGGGGTATTCCATCACTGGAGCACGACAGGTGAATGAGAATACATCTCCCTCGGCTGTTTCATTAGACTCTGATTCAATGTATACATCAATCTTGAGGCCTGGAGAGAGAGAGAGGACACAGTGTTAATAAATAATAATTGAGGAAGAGAAAGGGAGAGAGAGAGAGAAATATAAGTATTACCTGGTACGTAATAAGTCTTTTCAAATACGGACTGATTCTTAATGAGATTCAAGGCAGTCATGCTAACGGTATAATTACCAGGTGCTATTTCTGTGAGATCCCTAGACACAACTTGTATTTGAAAATCACGAGCTGGAATGCGTTCAAATGAATAATACTGAGGCTCATTCAAACCAGGTGATGATACTGTGACACCAGTAGCAGGAGCATCACTGTAATCATTAGCATAACACACTATAGTAGCATCATCACTAGAATAGGTTGGGGTACAGGTTATATTTAACATGTCAGCAGCTCCTGAATAACAACAACAACAACAACAATAATAATAATAACAATAAAATTTAACATATTTTATTCATTTTCATTAATAAATAATAAAATATAATAATACTAATAATAATAAATAATAATAATCAATTTACCTCCAAAGAACGTATTATAAGTTAAGGAAGTGTTCCCGTAGCCATTAGAAACAGAGAAGGTGAAGTTGCCCCTGTTCTCAGCCATAGGTTCATCAAACGTCACTACACCACTGGTATTAGACTTATCAATCTAAACAATATGAAAGAGGATAAGGTTTTAATAAATGGAGGAGGATAAGGGTTTAATTCACAAGACTGTCCACTTTACCTTGGTGGTAATGCCAGAACTATTGCTGGTGACGTAGTAGATGATAAATCTATTAACAGGAGGATTAGCCTTCAAGACAGTGACATTCAGTTCTTGTGTGTCCTCCAAGTCACTTAATTCAGTGAAAATGGTTATATTATTACCCTGAGTCAACCTAGGAGGATCTGAGAGAGAGGGGAAGTAAAAAAACACAACTTTTATTACATTTTTTGATTTCAATTTGCATTATGGCTGGCTAAAAAGAAACACACACACACACACACACACACACACACACACACACACACACACACCACACACACACACACACACACACACACACACACACACACACACACACACACACACACACACACACACACACACACACACACACACACACACACACACACACACACACACACACACACACACACACACCACACACACACACACACACACACACACACACACACACACACACACACACACAGCTTTTAGTTCACACACTCAATATTTGCATAGCTTCATCTGCTCAAACAAACATGAAAACAATAAAATGAAACAAGTTATAATCAAAACAAAAAAATAATATACACCTATATGTACATGTATAACCACCACACCCATAATCAGTTAATCTCACTGCATTTAGCATGATTACAGTGCTCAGGTTCTTGTCAGTAAATTTTTATAGTTGTTCCAAAATTTTAAGCGGATTCTGATAAAATATGGAGTTTTATAAATTTTTAAAGGCAAAGTTGAAGCCATGTATAGTATACTGTAGTGCTGGTCACTTAGCATGCTTTGTGGGTAACCCTCCCACAACCAAAAACTACACAGCATTATGAACACATAACAGTTACATGTAACTCCATTACTTACAATATATCTGTAGTGTAAAAGTCAACGAATTGTATGTTTTATTATCAGGAGCCACACCAACACAACTGAACGTTGTTCCATTATCAGCCTCTACGGTTGACTTGAAGGAATAGTCAATCTCTTTATCCGATTTATTATCCGTCGTCAATCGGTTGAATTTAGTTCCATTGGGAGTCCCATCAATCATGAGATTAATCTTGGATAAGGAAACGTTTGAGACGCAAGAGAAACTGAATGTGGTGGATTCAAAGACACCATCGACAGATGTTACCAACGTGATGTTAACAGCATCACCTAATGCGTTATAATGAGCAGAGTTAACGCGAAATTAACATAACATTGACACACATATTAATGGGCATATGACACGGTATAAACACAGGGATGACATGGGTGCACAAACACCGCATTAACACAGAGATAACGCAATAATAAATGACACATAAACACTACATTAACACAGGATTAACACGACATTAACAAATACTGCCATATGGCTTGTCTAGACAATTCACTATTGTAGTATAATACGACAAGACTATCACATGCTAAGCACATGCTACCTATAGATTAAATTAAAATAACAAGTTATTTCTAGAAATAATATAATTCACATAGTATAGTACAATCTATATAGACTATATGATGCAACAAGCAATCACAATAATTATACATAGCTGCTTGTACTGTAATACATGCAAGTAGCAATCTTCTCTTGCTAGGCAGTGGGCACATTGGCAAATTACATTAACCCACAGAAATATACAGCAAGTAATTTGGCAATAAAAATATATACGTGCTTGCTACTAAAGGTATAAATGCCAAAAAATAAACCCTGCTAGCCAAATTCATAATTACACAATTATTTTTAATTAATTTGAGTGGGAGATAAGATTGAACTTATTACTCGAATTTGAAGCATTTCCTTCGGCAGTAGCAGAACCAAACCAGGCCAGCACCAACAGGAGAGATAAAACTCGCTCCATTTGAGAAAAAGGGCGCCAATTGGTGAGCTGGATTCTGCTGGAAAGAATCGAAGCGTGCTGTCGGGAAATGGGTAAATATTTCTTGTCCCTATCAATTTATACAGACAATAACCATAAACCATGTGCTCTTTCAAGAGTATACGGAAACATATTCTCAACAATAAAAACACTTCCCGTATAATACTCTAGTAGACTAGTTATACGGATACAAGCACTGAGAAGTAGACGTGGTCAATAAAACTATCATTAATTAATTTTGTAAAATGAATTAAAAATCAGTCACTGTCACTATCACTCTCATCACTAGTAGTGCCCCAGGCCCCTCCTCCTCCGCTGGACGGAGCGTGAAAATCATAAACTGATATTAAACGAGGTATAGGTGTGGCCTGAGGTTGAAAAGCCACGCCTCCTTTAGGTAACTGTATATCATCAGAAGTGGCATCACTATCATAGTTTATATCATCTTGATCCTTGTGTACCGTGGTGGGTAGAAATGGTAGCTCAATCTCAGTATCTGATTCGATATTAGACTGGCTGCTACCGCCAACAGGAGGTGGGGCTTTGACAAACGTTTTACGAGACCTTGACGTCTTTGATCCTCGCCCACCACCTCTGGCCCCTCCTCCTCTGGCCCCGCCCCCTCCTGTCCCTCCTCCCGATTGTCTTGATCTCGGTGACCGGTGTGATGCTACTGGTGGTTTGATTGATAATGTTGATGAACCAGAAGTGACTTTATTATCAGCACTGCTCCATGGGCTGGGGGATATGTCAGTTATCTGACCATCAGCATCTCTGAGGAGGATTTTCTGATAGAGAGAGAGAGAGAGAAAGAAGGAGAGAGAGAGAAAGAAGGAGAGAGAGAGAAAGAAGGAGAGAGAGAGAGAGAGAAAGAAAGAAGGAGAGAGAGAGAAAGAAGGAGAGAGAGAGAGAGAGAAAGAAAGAAGGAGAGAGAGAGAGAGAGAGAGAAAGAAGGAGAGAGAGAGAGAGAGGAGAAAGAGAGGGAAGGAGAGAGAAAGGAAGAGGAAAGGAGAGAGAGGGGGGGGGGTGAATTTTATGATGACATATTGTACATGATGTGTATCACTAACTGGTGTCTGCTTTGCTCTGGTTTGAATTATCTTTTTATTCTTGTTAGCTGCTTCAACAGCCCAACTGATGTGCTCTAAGAAAATAACAGACAGGAATTCAGACAAAACATGAATACACAATACAATAAATAATTCATAATAATTCAATAAATAAATTCTGTGGTCTAATTAGACTAACAATAATTTCCCCTACTGCCTAAGGTTACAACCACTAACAGGATAAAATAATTATTATCAAGAACTCTACGACCTTGCTAAGTGCTAACGCCTCTAATATCATATAACATATCATACAGTGTGCTATAGCAGCTGTAGTATCGTATCAGGAGTAGAGGGAGTAGTTTTAAGGGAATTTTTGGCAAATTGCCACAGAAATTGGGTGAGATTTAGTCCAGCGAATTTGTACACGTGTGCCATTAAGTAAGAGCATAATGGCTCACATAAATGGTGGGTTTTATTTAAGCCAAATCACCCAATTCACTATAATTTAGTCCCTCCAAATTAATAATTTTATTAATTTACCAAACTCTTCCTCGGTTCTATTCCTGTGTAAGTACAGCCATATCTTCTTTGAGCTGATGTACCGGACACAAGGATCTTTCTCATAATGGAGTCTGTCTAATGCACCACTGACGGCATTGTTTAACTATTAATAACTATTAATATAACTAGTAGGAGGTGTGGTCTAACCTGACTGTTGGTAACGTTGTCAGAGATGAATTGAGAGTCTCTTAATAATATGCATAACTATTAATAACTAGTTAATAACTATTAATAACTATTAATAACCACTTACGTCAAGTCTTGTACCTTCTCCATTGGGTAACCTTGAACAAGCATCCCGTACTAAAAAATAATAAATATTAATTAATTAATTTAATTAATTACCTAGTGACAGTATAGTTACACAGTTTGGTCTCTCTTGTTTCAAGAGGGCGTGGCCTCGTGCTTTAGGATTGTCTTTCTTAACGACGGTCTTTGCTCCCTTTTATGAATTAATAACTATTAATTAACTTAGCCCCTCCCCCTTACTTTGACAGGCCCCACTGATGCTTCATATCCGTGCACTTTATAAGTGAAGGCTTTATGAGGATCAGAGTAACGCTGCTGCTCCTGTTAGTATCATGTTAGTATCATGTTAGTATCAATGTCAATGGTGAACTCACTAAATCTTGAAATCTCTCAATCTCGTGATGCTTGCTAGCTCTCACACTAGCAGTAGTTGAACTGAATAATAATAATAATATTAATAATAATAATAATAATAATAATAATAATAATAATAATAATAATAATATTAATAAATATTTAATGACAGGTTTATTTTCTTACATTAATGGTGGAAGTGGATCATAATCAGTATAATCAACAACGACCTAATAATAAATAATAATAACAATAATAATGATAATAATAATCATAAAACAACATTACCAGTGCTCTGTCAATGTTACTGTACCAGTGATTGTATAATATTAATAGTTCAGGCTCACTGTCTCTGTGATTACCTGATATTAATTAAAATAAAATAAATAAATAATAACAATAATTACCAATCCATCTCCAGTGATCTATTCTATCTCTGAACTCAATGACAGGATAAAAGTGAGGGAGTGGATCAAAAGATGACACAGCTAATGTAATGTAGAAGATAGAATTAGAATAACTGATACAATAATATCCACTTTTACATGTAATTGTATGTGCTGATTTTTAGCATTTTCGATGAGTTTTCATTCCACAAATTTTAGTACATTTTAAAAGTACATGATTACTGTTTTACCTCCTACTTCTCCTCCTAAGTAGCAAATGGCTGATAGCGTTAATTCTGACCAATCAGATTGAAGCGGTAACCATGAGCACGACTGACAGTCAGGTGACTCCTGTTAATAATCAATTATATATTAATTAAAGTGGGCGGGACTTACCAGGTATACTTCAACCATTTCTGTTACCTAAAAACAATAATAATAATTAATAAATTAATGATAAAATTACTTTATAAATGTCTCCTTTATTGTCTGGAAGTGATTGAAATGATTTCTTAATTATTGAAAAGAAACTCATGTATTGATTGCTTGGCAGTGGGCCATCCAATCTGTATATTATTAGTATGTTATTAGGATATCTCAGTATATTATTAGTATATCTCACATTATTGGAGCTAGTTTATCAGTTTTAAGTTTCTCAGGTTCCACGTACACTTCATAGACACAGCCACGCCCATAAAACAGCCCCTCCCACCTGGTGGAATATATAATGAATAGATACATTAATGACTACTAACTTCTTAACATCTTTTACAACTGGTTGAGGGATAATCTGTGGGTGTGGCTTAGATTTAGGCGTGGTCGCTTTAAGTGAAGGAGTAACAGGAGGAGGAGGAGTCTTCTCTTGTTTAACTAATTTTAGAATTACATCACAGTGTTACTAAATATAGCACGTATGTTACTATTAATAGATGGTGGAGGAAGGAGTAGCTCTGTTTTAATGTTAACAGAAGATGATGTTCCTGTAATACTAGCCAGTGTAATACCACTGGTGTTCAAATCAGGATCTAACTATGAGAATTATTTATTTATTTATTTATTTATTTATCTATTAATTAATTATTTATTTACTTTCTTCATTCTTCTTCTTTTCTTGTGCTTTTTCAATAATTTCTGAAACTCTTCTTCCGTAAATACAGGCTCCTGTTCAGTGGGTGTGGCTTCCTCATCTTCTGATGAAAATTCAAAATCGCCTTCTTTAGAACACTCCTCCAGTATTCTATTATTAGTATCAAAGGATGACATCATAGTATGATAATACTTTCTATATTTAGATTCGGTCTTAGTCCATATGCCTTTTCTCTTTTTAGTTAGTTTGTTGATATCATAAACTTCTAAATTATCTAACGACCCGTTGTCAAGGGCACTATACATAATGTGCTGTTGAAAAGGGAGAGAGAGAAATGATTAATATAATCATTAATTAATTAATAACTGACTCTTTTGCTTAGGAGAACATCCTGCATTAAACTCAAATGATAATATTTCATGTTTTGCTGAAAGGAAATAAAAAAATTAATAATTAATTATCATAATACTTGGTATAATTGATATTTCAATAGCTTCAATTTGTCTTTTAAACAGGAAATATCTCTCACATAATCACCACCTAATTAATAATAATAACAATAATATTACTAAACACTCTCACCTGATACTTTATCCCACGATTCTTTAATTGGATTACTGCCGAATTTAAATGCCACACCCCCAAAAAGATCCCTAATTAATTAATAATACAATAATAATTACAATGATGTCATTCTTACGTTATTGTGCTTTCTTTTTGTTCGTTTGAGAGCTCTTGTGGGAGGAATTTACTAAGATGCTCTCTATCAGACTCAGTAAGAACATTGTCCCATGTATCACGTGACATCACGTGACTAAATACATCCTCCTAATAATAATTTTTAATGCTATAAAAATAAATAATTAATCTTACATCCTCCAATAGTTCAGTAGGTACACTAATCTCCTCCCCACCTATCAGTAAAGACACTTCTTTTTTGCAAATTTGCTCTTCACTCTCCGCCGCCATTTTAATAAATTGGGCGTGGTTGGGTTAGTTTTGACCACACGTTTATTAATTAACTGCCTTGCTGCAATTTTTAACTCTTCATAAGGTGATGGATCTTGGTGATATTCTCTCTTATAAACCTGACACGTCCTCCAAGAGACCAAGACAAGAAGAGGAAGAGGAAGAAAAAGATGAAGTTGCAGCTCCTCCATTGAAGTGAACAATAATAATAATTTAATTAGTTAAATTCACAGATTTTGGCACATGGTTTTTTAAAAATTAACTTAGAGCTAGAAATAATTTTTGTATGTATTTAAAGTTTGAGCTGATTCCGAGCTGAGTTATAGTCATTTAAAAAATAAGCTAATTTCTAAAATATGCCCAAGGCTATTATACCCATGGTTTTTTCCAAAAAATGGCTTCGAAATCACCCCCAATTTTTATTACATTTTCTGATACATATTGATGTACTTATGCTGTGCAGAAAGTTTGAGCTGATTCCGACTTCAAATTTTCAAATTACGGCCATTTTTAAAAAAGAGCCGATTTCTGAAAATTTCCCTGTACTATAGCCCATGATTTTTTCTAAAAAATGGCTCCAAAATTACCCCCAATTTTTATTACATTTTCTGATACATATTGACGTCCTTATGCTGTGTAGAAAGTTTGAGCTGATTCTGACTTCAAGTTTTCAAGTTACGGCCATTTTTAAAAAGGAGCCAATTTCTGAAAATTTCCCTGTACTATAGCCCATGGTTTTTTCCAAAAAATGGCTCCGAAATCACCCCCAATTTTTATTACATTTTCTGATGCATATTGATGTACTTATGCTGTGCAGAAAGTTTGAGCTGATTCCGACTTCAAATTTTCAAGTTACGGCCATTTTAATGAACTAATTTTTCAAAAATTCCCTGTACTATAGCCCATGGTTTTTCCATAAAAATTACTCCAAATTATCTCCTGTGCTATTTATTTTAGGAAAAGCAATGGCTCCATAGCTGAAGGTGAATTAACAGACGAACAAAAATTAAAATTATTACAAAATTTAAGCGATGACGAAGATGAAAGTAAGACTCATAACTACGAGACCGGGAACTAATTAATATTCTTTATCACATTACCATGGCAACCATTAACTACCCCCTCCCCTCAGACCCTGAAGTACTTGACGCTGGAGCCGTAAAGAGAATGCTCCTCAGTTTTGAGAAGCAGGTACTCAAGAATCAAGAAATGCGGATCAAGTTTCCTGACCAACCTGATAAGTTTATGGAGTCTGAATTAGAGCTGAACGATGAGATACAGTCGCTCCACATCATAAGCACCGTCCCTCAGTACTACAGTCTGTTAATAGGGGCGAGGACTATCAACACACTCTGTAGCCTGCTCACTCACGATAACTCTGACATATGTATTGCTGTTATTGATCTACTCCAGGAACTAACTGATACCTCTTCTATTGATGAAACTGAATATACTGAGGCACTGGTGGAAGAACTGCTCAATGAGAAAGTAAGAAAATATTGATGGCCCACTCTGATCTTACAATAGCAGCTTACCGGTATTTAGTTAAAGTTGAGTACATTTTCTGTTCTATATACATGTTCTTGTATTGTTAATTACTGCATTGAGTTGATTCCAATGTGTTAAACCACATGTACACTCCCTACAGCATGTGCTAAAAGTCCAACCCACGAGAGCATTGGCAGGTTATACCAGTATAAAAGGACTGCTCATAATTGGATCCTATACCATTATTACCTATATTATCACATACAATTCTTGTAAGGGTGAGTGTAGATATACACAAACCCTATTATTTTTGTGATTTATAAGCAATACATTAGTTGATTCTGATCAAAATTGAAATGTTTAAAGTCACTCCAAAAGATGGCCTTTTTGCAGCCATGAACACACACACACGCTGAATTAATGTTTATTTATTAACAATTCCTAACTCTGATTATATTAACACTCCTCATTTTCTAATAGTTATTAGCTCTACTGGTTCAGATATTGGAAAGGTTGGATGAGAAGGTATCAGAGGACAAGGAAGGAGTCCATAACACTCTGGCCATCATAGAGAACATCAGTGAGATACTCAACAAACCAGTCACCACAGCTGCTGGGGAACAGGGCCTCCTGACCTGGCTACTAAAGAGAGTTAGGATAAGACAATACGACGAGAACAAGTTATACGCTTCGGAAATACTCGCCATATTACTCCAAGACCACACCCCCAACCAGTCGTTGCTAGGCAACAGTGACGGTATTGATATTCTCCTCCAGTCACTAGCGTACTACAAGAGGAGAGACCCACACTCGAGCGATGAGATAGAACTAATGGAGAACCTGTTTGACTGCCTCTGCTCCTCGCTGATGTACCCTCCTAATAGAGACAAGTTCTTAAAGGGGGAGGGGCTCCAGTTGATGCGTCTGATGCTTCAAAGTAAGAAACTCTCAAGACGAAGTTCTTTAAAGGTTCTCAATCATGCCATGTGTGGGGGCGGGGCAGAGTGTCGAGATAATTGTGAGAAGTTTATTGAGATATTTGGTCTCGGGAGTTTGTTCCCGGCTTTTATGAAGACCCCAAGAGGCGTCAAGAAGGGAACAGGGACGGAGGAACAAGAGGAACACGTCACGTCAATAATAGCATCACTGTTTAGACACGTGAGTGGAGGTGGGAGGGACCGTCTAGTCAGCAAATTTGTGGAGAACGATCATGAGAAAGTTGACAGATTGTTAGAGCTACATCTTAAATATAAGAATAAAGTAATGAATAATTAATATTTTAGTACTAATTAATATTCATTATTATTATTATTATTAATAGATCAGAGAAGTTGATGAGAGTATTAGAAATGAAAGACGTTATCGTGTCACAACCGGAGGTGATGAAGAAAACGAAGAAGAGATGACCTTTCTAAGACGGCTAGAGGCTGGTCTTTTTAAACTCCAGCTAATCGATTACATCATCACTGAGCTCTGTCTCTCAGGGATACCCTCAATTAGAGGGCGTGTCATTACCATATTAGGTCAAAGAGGCGGGGCATTAGTTGACGTGGTTAACGTCATGAGGGAATACGTTGACGGACTCGGAGAAGAAAATGAAGACGAGAAAGCAGAAAAGAAGAGACTAGCGGAACTTTTAAAGAACTTTGAAACTTCGATATAATAAAAATTAGTTTTTGAATTGAATAATAACAAAAAAGTACATACTTGAAACACTCCACTTAATAATAATTTAGTGGCTCGTTAAACTAACAAATTGTGGTATCTTAAACTATGTTGCTAAAAATAACGCGATACTAAAAATAAATCTGTTACCATACTCCTGGTTACCATATATGGAGGTATACTAATGGTCTATTGATGAAGGCTATTGATGGAGTACAAGATATGTGAATGGGTTCGTCTTGTTGGAGTATTGACCGCAGCATTCAGTACTTTAATGATAAGTACATCATTCGCTAATTCACACCATCCTAAGCTTTTATATCATGAATACAGTCAATTACTCACTACTAGTGCTGCTCCCTCACTCTCTCTTCTTTCTCTTTTGTTGAGTGTTGATGATGTTGCTGCTCTATCTGTCTCTTATTGTTACTGTGTCTTTCTATCATGGATGCAATGGTAAGGACACCTTTACTTCACTTCAATTTCCTCCACTTTTGTAGCTGGAGTATCAGTATTGATTGGTGATAAAACTATTCAAAATGGAGATGAAGTGGAAGTCAGTCCTGGTGGAAATCTTACGGTAACATGTTCCACTAATAATGAGAATGAAACGGCATTACTGGTTTCATCCAACAATACTGTTAATATAACAGTTGTGAATAACTCAACACTGAACAGTGAAGAGTACCTTGTACACAATATAATGAAGGAAAGTCATAACAGTGTGATAACTTGTCATGATAATACAACCAGCACATACTTCTATCTTAATGTAACATGTAAGTTAAAAATAAGAGGCTGATTACTAACTTAGTATTTGCTTTAGATGTTCCAGAGATTACGCTTTCTCAGGATAGTTATTTAAAAGAGGAAGGAATAAATTTAACCATACCAATAAACATTTCAGCCAATCCTCCAGTAGAGAGTGTTCACTGGTATATGAATGGTGCTCCTATTAACGATATGAATGTGATGACATCAGATGACAGTATAATGTTTCAAGACCTTGATAGAACGCATGGTGGGAACTACAGTGTGCAAGGTCATAATAGTAAAGGAGATGGAGATAATGCTACCTTCTTGTTAACTGTGTATTGTAAGTACATACACTATACCACTATCCATTAAAATTAATACTGTTTTAAATGCTTTGAATACATACACTTCTACATTAGCTTATACTTTAAAGGTGTAAGCTATTGTTAACAATTTTCAAGATTAATTGTCTATTTTTCATGTAGTTGACATAGAGTTTGCAGCCAGTGATAATTTTAATGAGAGTAACATGACAACAGTAGAATTGCATGAAGGAGAGATGTATACAATAAACTGTTCTCTGTCATCAGTTGGTTCTCATCCACCCAACACTACTGTACACATACAACAAAGCAATGGAAGTTTGATATACAACGAATCAGAGATGAATATCACAGCAAGCAGAGATACCTATTACCTCTGTGTAGCTAATAATGTGATGGAGACAGCTTATTTCAACTATAGCATCATAGTGATTCCAGCTACAAGTAAGTTATAATGATTGTCTGTCTGTTAACATTGACACATGTATAGCTCCATCACCTTCACCAACATCATCACCAATGCCAAGTCCTACACGAACACCAGGAGCAGGTAACACACACACATATACATATACATATATGTCACCTAATACATATGTATACCCAATACATATGTACACCCAATACATATATGTACACCCAATACATATATGTCACCCAATACATATATGTACACCCAATACATATGTACACCCAATACATATGTACACCCAATACATATATGTACACCCAATACATATATGTACACCCAATATACCGTATGTACACCCAATATACCGTATGTACACCCAATACATGTATGTCACACAATACATATATGTCACTCAATACATATGTACACCCAATACATATATGTACATCCACACATCATTAGTGTACATATATGTCACTCACTACATAATTTGTTTATACCATATGTCACTCACTATACACACACACACCCACCATTGGTGTACATATAACATATATGTCACATGCACATGATTGGTGTACATTATGTCACTCACTGTCTTTCATTAGGTTATACTGTCACTGTTAGCTTTGGACTGGTCATCATTGCTATTGTCCTATCTTTCTTTGTCAACTGAAAAGAGACTTTACTGCTCTTTCATTATGTGTACTGTAGGAACCTTCTGTATCATTACTATACTGTAGAGTGTACTGTTGTTGTTGTTATTGTATTTGCATGTATGTAATTATAATAATAATAGAAATATTGTTGGTAGATTAAATTTATTATAAAAAATAACGATTCGCGACAAATATTAGGAATAAACTAAAAAGAACAATAACAAACACAATTAAATTACGTATCACAGTACAACAGCTTGTTCAGTTCATATAACTAATACAGTGCAGAGTATAGGGACAGTGCTATCATCAACATTGCCATCAGACCACAAGATGCAAGAGCCCCTATTAATTAACATTGTAATTAAATTATTGTTTATTAATATTGCATTAATATCATTACCTGCTCCTCCAGTTGGCTGTGAAGTAGGACTTGGAGTGTTACTGGGAACAGGGACAGTTGGAGTCACAGGAGCTATAGAACAAATATTAACAATCTTCTTCCTCCTTTTCTCACTCCATCTTACCTCTTATTGTAAAGCTGCTATTAGCAACAGTTACATTCCCAATTATATTCTCAGCAGATACCACTACTGGGTATGTAGTACCAACGTTGAATTGAGAGAGGTCAATCATCAGTGGGAACACTCTCACAGTATAAGTTGTACCATCAACCAGCACATGAAACCTTTGAACAGCATAAGGACTATTATCAGTAAACACTCCATTGATGACGACCGACTGAGAGGAGAATGTAACAGAGAGAGTGAATTGAACATCAGGAAGATCTAAATAATAATATAATAAGTGAGAAAGGAGATAAAAGAGATACTCACTTCCAACAATGATGTTATAAGTCAGTTCACTGGTTGCTACAAGATTGGTTACTGTACAAGTATATCTGCCAGTATTGGCCTCAGTAGCTGAACTGATGGAGAAATGACCAGTAGATGTATCAACATTACTTGCACTACCAGAGCCTGAGGTTAACTCGTAATTCAATGATGAGTTAGTGACTGGAGGATTAGCAGCAGATACTGAGCAATTCAGTAAAGTATTGCTCCCAACAACAACTGATCTATTGACAACATTACTACCATCAGTTGAAGGAGATAGTGCGAATTCTGGAGCATCTATAAATAAACAGCAAAATCAGTAGAATAACAATATAGGCATGTGAAATATTGACTAGCAATACACTACAGGAGCAGTCATTTTTTAACACATAACTACATCATGATGAATTCATTAACTGGTGGCTCAGCCAAAATAAACTAACAACATTTGCTGCATCAGTACAAGTATTGGCATGCAAATAATTTGATAAATATGATTTGTTTATACTAGCACAGCGTTGCATGAGCTTGCACAGGATATAGAGTAAGATAATTGGAAGATAATCTTGAGGTGTAAACAATAACCTGAACATGGGCATAAATTAGTTGTATATTAGCAACTAATGCTAGAGATATAGAAAGAGGACACATTGCTATTATGATAAACAGTGGATTTATACTCACTAGATTATTATTATAAACTTACAATAGACATCTAAACTGATAGTTGCAGTTCCATTCCCTAATGAGTCAACAGCAGTTACTGTATATAGCCCCGAGTCTTCTCTTGATACACTACTGAACCTCATTGAACTAGCTGATAGACTCAGCCCTGGAGAGCTGCTTATTATAATACCGTTCCTTCTCCATGTGAATGCTGTGAGCATTACTGGTGCATCCAGTGATAGACTTAGTACTGGACTGCTCCCTTCAATGACATTGTAATAGAGAGAAGCAGGAGAATATAGAGGAGGAACTGAGAGAGAAAAGGGGAGGATCAATCGTTGAAATTAAATAATAAATAATTATATGCACTAAACTTACAGTCTACAATGATGGTGATCACATTAGATCCTTCACCATTACTGAAACACTGTATGATGGTCCCATTATCATTTCTTGTAAGATCATTCAGTTGATATTGAACTCCAGGTAGCCTGCCCATTCCACTGCCCTCACCAGCTAGCATTAATCTTCCTCCCACTGCTGTAACGTTATGATTTATCTGTAGGATTTGCTGTCCTTCTCCATCACAGCTAAACTCCAGATTGTCTCCTTCTCTCCCGGTCAGTACAGGATAGGGAGAGAGGCTCACTTGAGCTGTAGTACAATGGAAAGTGTGGATTGGATTGTAGTATACTTTACTATTAATGATATCATTGAATTACCTTTGCTATGAACTACGAGTAACAGGGAGAGGAGAAGGAAGAAGTAGCAGCGAGCCATTGCAGCATAAAGTGGAGGAGTAGACCAGCCCCTCCCTAGATTAGATCTGTAAAAACCACAAAAATATTAATTAATTTTAAAATCATTATAAAATGGGTTTAAAAATTCAAAAGTTAATAGTTTCATATACATCAGTTGGAGCAGTTGCTATGCCAAATGGCTAGTCACACACATTCACACAATGGTTTAAATTTTAAAAATTAACAGTTTCATATTCAGTTGGAGCAGTTGATGACCCAGTAGGAGGACTAGTTGCAGTAATGGTGTGTCCTGCAGGTAAAGAATATGCCACATTCTCTTGTACATTAACAATTGAATCAACTGCTGCATATGCTTCATCAGACACTGAAAGAATTGATGACATATTACCGAAAACTGTTGCTTCTTTTTCACAATAAAATTCTTTAATTTCTGAAACAAAACAAATAAATATATAAATAATTACTAACATACTTTTCCTGAAATAAAGACATTGTAAAATAATGATAATGATAAGTATTATAACTAGTATCAGTAATATAAATATACTGATTGTTATACCAGCAATAGAACCACTTGATAATCCTAAAATTATAAACAGAAAATGAAATGAAAATAAGAACAATAACATTAACCTGATGTTTGAGGTGTAGTGGTAGGAGCATTACAACCAGTAACAGTTAATATAATAGTAACTGATGTAGTAATGATAGATGCAGTAGTACTGGATACTGCAATGTAATGTATTGTAATGACACATTAAAATAATAATAATATACTCACTTGGATCAATAGTAAAGACTTGAGGATGATTAAGAACATCTGAAAAACCATATTGATTGGTGGTTACTATACTGACTGATACTGACCCACCATTAGGTATACTAATACTAATATCAACAATATCATTAGCCTGATAACCATTGAACTGATGTGTAGTAGAACTTATAATAGATCCATCAGATGTGTTAGTAGTATTAACAATAAGCCTAATATTAGTATCACCAGGATACATTGTACGCACTCTTAATACTAGTACACCAGGAGATGGTACATTACCAGTAATCACTGGAGATGAAGGAATACCTATAGAAAGAGAAGGAGAGTGGGTGAGATATGAAGGGAGACTAAACTATCAAGTAGTGTTGTTTTAGTTAACTATAACTAAAACTAAAACCCTTTTAGTTAGGCCAGATTTCCTTTTAGTTAACTAACTATAACTAACTAAAATTATTTTAAAATTTAAAAAACTAACTATAACTAACTAAAAGTATTATAGAATTTGTAAAACTAACTATTACTAACTAAAATGGCTAAAGTTCAAACTAAAACATAGAAGTACTTATCAGTCTAGCACTTCACTACTTGTAGCTAGTAATAATGTTTTAGGTAACTATAACTAAAACTAAAACCCTTTTAGTTAGGCTTAATTTTACTTTTAGTTAACTAACTATAACTAACTAAATCTTTTAAAAAAACTCTTAAACTAACTATAACTAACTAAAAAGATTTAGAAAGTTAAAAAACTAACTATTACTATAACTAAAATTATTTTTATTGAAGCATAACTAACTAAAACTAACTAAAATCAAAATGTAAAGTTCCATAACTAACTATTACTAACTAAAAGTCTCATTTTGTAACTAAAACAACACTACTATCAAGATAACTAACAACATGTATAACGAAAAGCAACATGTTTACATTTACTTTATGTAGATATTCTTTCTTACCTTCCATAGGCACAATGTTATCAATAATCCTAACATCAGTTCCATTAGCATTGATAGCTGCTATTCTACAAGAGTATGATAGTCCAGCAGTAATAGGTCCTACTCTAGTACTACCCATTAGATTAGAATTACTGCAATCATTCATAGTACAAGATACCATACCACCACTGCTTCCCTCACCACTAGTACTACACAATACTTCAACATC